CGGACGGCAGGGGGAGGGAGAGGCGCAGTAGGGGGAGGGGGGTAGGCGCTCAGGAGCTGCGAGGAATGGCGGCGTGCGGATGCATCCCTGAACGCCTGCTGGCCCGCCGCCATGTGGGATCGTGGAGGTGACGGTGGAAACGGAATTCCCCCTCGCCTCACAAGCGTACCTTACACGCGTTACCCGCCTCGCCTCCCGCCTTCCTGCCGCCCCTCCGTCCCTCAAGTGGATTCCCCTCGCCTAGAACGGAACCGGCATGTATACATTACACACCTAGCTCCCTCCCCCCCCTCCCCTCTCCCCACCCATTCCACCCACCCTTCTTGTACTCCCGCTCTTCCCTCGTCAGCTCCCGCCGAACCAGTGTCACACTCAGACACCGGCTGCTCCTGCTGCTGCTGCTGCCACCGCCTACCCCACCTCGCCGTACGGCATCACCCCAGCCACCCTCGCATGCATGCCTGGTACCCCCGCCCCCCCCGCCACCACCACCCGCAGCATCAGCAGCGGCAGAAACACAGGTGCTTCCAATTCCACGGGTCGCCATCTGCTGCGGTTGCTGCTGCGCCTCCTCGGCGGTCCTGCTCTTGCGCTCCTCCCCCTCCGTGACCAGGCTCCAAGAGCTGAGCTCGGGTACGACAGGAGGCAGCGGTTGGGGCGGTGTACTGCCGCTGCTGCCGCTCCAGGCCGCGATTGCCGTACCAGGAGGTGGCGACCTGTGGGTGTGTGTGGAGTGGGGGTGGGAGGGGGGCAGCAGGTAACAGGCGGCAGCATCAGGGGCAGTATGTGCGGCGCGGGTAGGTGAGGTGGGGGGTGCACATGAACCCATGCGTGCGGCCGCGTGATGCCTTGTCGCACAGCTGGTGTGCGGTACCGATGTGTGCTCGACAGGAGAGGGGGGTTGCAGGGCCAGCACATGCACCCTCCAGCACCTGCCCTCTCTGATCAGACCCAACACCCGCCTCATGCCCCATCCCTCAGCCCTCTTGTGGCGCCCTTCCCTACCCCTCCCTGCTCCCTCCACCTATCCGCCTGCTCCCAACGGGGTTGCTCCCTTATCATCCTACCCACCCTACCCACCTGCTTCCCCCCTCTCCCTCTCCCCCTTCCCCTCCTCCCGCCGCTCCGCTGTAGCTCCTGCGGATGTCCAGCCCCAGCCCCCTCACCCGCAGCTGCAGCCCCCCCGGCCCCACCCGCAACCCCACATCCTCCCCCCGCAGCCACCAGGGCAGGCCGGGGAGGTCCAGGAGCACCTAGGGGGAGGAGGGGGGGGAGAATATCCATTGAGGGAGAAGGGGGAGGAGAAAGAGAGGGATGGGATGGGGGTAAAAAAAATAATGAGACACTGACGAAGCAACTGGGATGGGTGTGGGGGTAAGAGAAAGAGACAACTAACCGTGTGACAAGGCTCCACTTTAGGGAGGGGACAGGAAGGGAGGAGGGGAAGGGGAAGGGAGGGGAGAGGGAGCATGGGGGGTTTGGGATGGGCAAAGGGGCGTGCGGCCGACGCGGCAGGAGATGCCACCGTGGGGGCGAGGGACTGGGAGGGACTGAGGGTGAAAAGAGGAAACAACTGGTAAGGGTGGGAGGGATGGGGGGGGTCGGGCAACAGCTGGAAGCAGGGACGCGAAGGGGAGGTTGGGAGCATCCAAACCAACCCACACCCCAAACCCGCACGCATACACACACACGCCCCCACGCACCTCATCCTCCGCCTGCGTCAATACGTACGGCGGCGGCATGCAGCGCGCACCGTCACTGTCCCCCGCAAACACACGCCGCCACCAACCCCCTCCACCGCCCCCTCCGCTGCCTCCCGCGTCCATCAAACGACGCCAAGGCCAGGCGGTGGGCGGCGGAGGCGGCGGCTGTGCGGTTGCCGTACCACATCTGCTGCTGATGCCGTACAACACACTTCCCCCCTGCTGCCCCTCCCCCTCCCCCTCCCGCTCCTCCCCCTGCGCTGCTGCTGCATGCAGCGCCTTGGTGAGGATCACCAGCGCGAACCGCCCGTCAGCAGTCCTGAAGGAGGGGGAGAGGAGGAGGAGAGGGTTGGCTCTTGGGTCATGTGCGGGTTTCTACCCCTCATGTGCCCGACCCAGGCAGCCTGACCAACACAGCTACACTGTTAAAGTAAGCAGATAAGCACTCGGACCTCCTGTTTCCTCCGCCTTACAATCTCCACTCCTGATCCCCACCCCGGGAAAGAAGGGCCCCTCTCAGCCTCCCCCTCCCTCCCCCCCGTCCCCCAACCCCTCCCCCCCCACCTCCTCAGCTCCAGCGGTGCCCCCGGCTGCAGCGGACCCCCCAGCAGCCGGTGTACGACAGCAGGGGGCGGGGGAGGCGGGGGGTGGGGAGCCCCTCCTGCTCCTGCCGCTGCTCCTCCTGTCCCCCCTGCTGCTCCCCCCGCCACCCCCAGCCGCATCACCCCCCGGGGAGACACACTGAGCTCCACCTCCCTGTCGTGCCGGCCTGGGAGGGTGGCGAAGGTGGGGTCAGGTGGGGTGTGGGTGTTCAGGAAACTGGCCGCAAGTCGGATTGTGTGGTTGTGATTGCCGAAAAATGAAGTGGGTATGTTTATGTGTGTGTTAAGAAAACTGGCCGAGAGTAGATTATGTGTGTGTGGGGTGCTCGGGGGATTGTGCCATACGAATTTGCTTCAACGAGTCAGGTGGGGTCGGCTGTGGGACATTGAGGGTTTCGTGTGTGAGGGCCCCACAAGTGCCAAGAGAGAGGGGATTGCTTGTAGGGAGCGGTAGGAGGTGTGGAGCAGGTCCATACATCCCGGCTGCACGCTTCACGAGACTAGGCTTCCACAGGACGGAAGCACCCCGCCCCGGCAGCAGTCCAGCAGTCGGGAGCGTGGGGTTCCCCCTTTAACAGCCAACAGCCTCTCCCCAGCAGCCACCCCCCTCTACCCTTCCCTGCCCCTCTCTTCTCCGCTGCGTGTATGTTGTAAGTACGTACGTACCGTTGGGTAGGTGTACGGCAATAATTACATGACGTTCTGTTTGGGTCCACATGTAGAGCCGCGCCAGGGAGGGGTGGTAGCGGACCTGGGGGCGTGTGTATGCGGGGGGTTTGAGTCGGAGACACGTCAAAATGACAGGACAGGGCAAAGCAATCGTGTTTGTAGGGGAGAGAGCGGGAGGAGGAAAGAGAATTGTAAGTGAAAAGGGCCCGGGGTTCAATTAACAATGAGACTCGGCTACAAACAGTTACGTGCAATCCCTGCTTTTTGCCACCCCGCATCCCTGACTGCCGGCCCTCCCCTGCTTCCTCCTCCTCCGGCCCTCTCCAATGCTCCTCCCCCCTCGCCCCCTACATGCGCCTCCTCCGGGCCCTCCGCTGCCGCCAGCTCCTCCCTTCCCTACCGTTATTCCTATCATGTACCTCATGGTCCGCCCTCTCTTCTCCCCCCCCCTCTACCTGCGCCTCCTCCGGCCCCTCCGCTGCCGCCAGTGCCGCCGCCCTGCAAAAGGCCCGCAGCTCGCGCAGCTGCCCCTCGCTGCGATGGTGCGGGCAGGCGGCGGACAGCCTAGGGGGGGAGGGAGGGGGAGGGTGGGTGGAAAAGGGGGGGCTGCGGTCAGAAAGAGAGACAACAGCTTGTAGGCCTTAAATGCTCCCCTCCCCCCTCAATCCCCCCCCAACCCCCACCTCCTGTCGTCCTCCAGCCTCTTGGCCTCCATCTCCCGCCGCCCCAGCCGCTCAAGCAGCGCCCCGGGGGCGGACACCACCGGCCAGTGGAGCGGGTGGGGTCCCTGCCCGGTGGGAGGGGAGGGGAGGGAGGATTGAACCATGCAGTGGGATTATTGTGAGGAGAGGGGAAGGCGAGGAGGAAGGGAGCTGGCGTTTGGGCTGGGGAGCAGTCACAGGGGAATGTACGTGCCCCATAAGCTGCCCTCCCACTCCCTTCTCTCTCCAAAACCGCTTCCTCCCCCCCTCCCGTACACACACCTACCCTTGCCCCTCCCTCCCTCCCTCCCTCCCGCACTTTGGAATTTCTTTTTTCCCTCCCTCCCCCCCCACACCCTCACCCTCCAGTGCTGTCTGCGCGCGCAGAAGCTGCAGAAGGGCAGGTCGCACAGTCCGCAGTTGCGGGTGGCAGGTCGGCCGCACAGCCCGCATGTGACCACCAGCTGGCAGGAGGGGTCGATCAGGGGGAGCTAGGCGGGGGGGGCGGGAGGGGGGTAGGGCGGGAGGCGGGACGGAGAAGTAAACTAGGAAGCGCGATACCGGTAATGAACACAACCATCGTACTGGTGCGGAGTGGTTAGCGGAAGAAGGGTGGGACTGGGGAGTGTGTTAAGAAAGGTAGATGCAAGACTCCTCACACACACGAGAACTCCAAACAGCAATGTAGCAAGTAGCACTGTACTGCACTATCAAATGCAGTATCACCCATACTCTGGGCCTTCCCTCCATACTTTGTCGCTACATCCGTACACCCATTTGTCCGTACACCGGTGCACCGTACCACCCAGAGCCACTTGCCTCCATCTTGCTTTCACCGAAGGCAGGGGCGCTAGCTGCTCCTGCTGCTGCCGTACTGCGCAGGCGGTTGCCCAGTTCGTGCAGCAGGGACTCTTCTCCGCCGAACGACTGCCGAGGAGCGCGTGCATGTGTGTTTGTGGTTGTACGGCAAACACAACCACCGGGGGTGAGATAGGGAGGAGTCAAGGAGAGGGTAAGGACCACCGCCCCATACTTACGGGAGGCGCGTTGGAAGGTAGGGTTTCATGGGCTCATGGCACACGCATCCGGAGCCAGGACATCTTAGGGTGATGCGGAGACAACAGGGAGGAAATCTCCAAGGTAGTGGACGTACGGTAGAGCAGGAAGCTACGGGGCAACAGGGATGTCTTTAGCGGGATAGGGTCAAGCAAGCAACCCGCAAATCCCTTTCCTCATTAACCCAGTTGTTCCCCCACCACACCACACCCAAACCTCCTCACCCTCTGCTGCCCCTGCCCCTGCTGCTGCCCCCAGCCGGCCATGTACTGCTGTCGGTAGTCGTACGAACACCTGTCGTACACCGCCCGGCTGTCCGGCCGCCGCAGCACCTCCCATGCGGCCTGCAGGCGGGAGAAGGCGGCCGCACTGCCGCCCTTGTCGGGGTGAAGCAGCCGAGCGGCGGTGCGGTAGGCCTGTGTGCATGGGGGTCGGGGGTGGGGGGCTAGGAACAGCAGAAGCTAATCGGTACGCCCAGTCAGGCAGGCCAGTGCAGGAAAGGATCGGCATGCATGGCGTCTCTCAATCTACATGTTGCCACCAAGAATTGCTTACGCGCCCAGGCAACCCCCAAGCCACCCACCATCCATCCCATCCCCTTGCATTTTGTTCCCTATCTCGCTCCTCCCAACCTCACCACTCGTATCTCCTCCTGGCTAGCGCCGAAGGGCACTCCTAACACCTCGTAATGACTAGCACCCTCTGGCCAGCCGGTCTTTAGCTTCTGACTGGGTTGGGCATTTTCGTGATGTCGCTGCTGCTGCGGCTGTTGCGGTTGCTGCTGCTGGCCCATTTGACTATCAATCAGTATGCCTTAACACATATTCAGAATTGGAAGGGGAAACCAACAGAACAAACGGAAGAGAAGCTCGTAAACGCGAAGGAGCTGTTACAGCTGATGATGGTTGGCGAGCATGTCACGGTGCGCGCTAAAGCAGACGACATAAATGTTGCGGTTCCAAGGTCGCAGATGTGTTCAAGAGTGAGGTTTGGTGTTTTAGATGGTGTTGGATTGGTCCTGTGGAGTGAGGCGCCCGTCACTTGCTGGACTTGAAGGCCAATGGCTAAGCGCGAGGGTCCACACCACGTCCATGGACAATAATCACCATGAGGATAAGTGTCGAAGCGGCAAGTGCCTACAATTCGAGGCAAGAGCCATGCTGTTCCCTTGGCCATTACAGTGGACAGGCCGAGGGAGAGTCCGACACTGTTTTGGCTGCTAGGAAACTCCTTTCCTCTAAATCAGTAATTTCCTCTAAATCAGTAGCAGCAAAAGATAAAAACAGCATAAGCGCTGTGCGCGGAAGTGGGACAAGAGGTATGTCCAGATGGCTTACTAATATGCGTATGCATTGACTTTGACCAAAGTCCACTTGCTATGGAACAATAATTACACATCTATTAATTCTATAATTATCGAGTCCTGAGATGGGCAAATGTTGGCGGTCAGTGACAACGAAAAAGTCAATGTCAGTGTGGGATTAGCGGCTTGTTCAACCAGCGGGCACTTCATTGCGTTGAAGTCTTGCTTGCGCTTTGTCTCCTTAACCAAGTGCATAAGCCGAAGGCGCCTCAAGGATATAACCGCTACGATTGCTCTTTAAAGTTGGCCCCTCCGGTAACCACTCAACACCCTAGTGGCTACCCTGCTTCAGCAGCAAGGTATATGAAAGTTTCTCGAGAACCACGCATTAAGCCTCAATTTAAGTACGTAGGCCCTGGATATAGCCCCCCGATATGCTTTCCTAGGAGTCTGCAACCCGTGAACGTCACTGCTGTTTCCAGAGCATTCCTGAGCAAACGCCGATTGCCGGACCACCTTACGTGTTGTTTCAGCACAGCGTGTAAGAGCTGTGTGGTGGCCGCTGGTGTGGAGTGTGGAGTGGGCGGGGGCGTGCAGTGTGTGTGGACGCAGGGGATTGGGGCATGCAACATGCTTGGCGGTAGAAGGCCTCGTGGGAGGGGGTCAGGGGCTCATGCTAGTTCAGTGGATATGTAAGGCAAGAATTCCCTTTCTGACATGCACCTGTGGCCGAGTGGTTAAGGCGCGGCCCTGCTAAGGCCGTGGGGTTTCCCCGCGTGCGTTCGAATCGCATCGGGTGCGTACCTTTTTGCTCTTGTTGATATTGCTGGCTGGCTACATGTCGATTGTCAGGACGCATTCGGCATGGCTTGCATGTTCCTAGAACTGCCTTGCCCAGAGGTGAGGGTAGTTACCGCGGCACCTGATGACGTCCGTGACAATGCAGCTCGCCGTATTTCTGCCTCCTCCCAATCCACGGGGCGGCCCAGCTCCAGCAGCAAGCGCAGCGCCTCTAAGAGGCTACAGCCCGAGACACAGGTGTTTAATGTTTTAATGCAATCCCAAAGAGCATCCCAGCCTCCGCTTTCCTTCAGCTTTACTCGCTGCCATCCACTTGCAGTGCCGCTGAGGGTTTGTCCAGCATCCCAGGGGCAGCCGAGTTGCTACAGCCACCTCAGCAGCTCCAGGCTGCCTGAACTGGCTGCATTGATGAGGGTACGTGCTGTCATGCCCCCCCCTGTTCCCCCCTTCCCCACCAGCCAGGCTACCACATGCAGGTGCCTGCCACTGGCAGCAGCACTGACGACCCGCTGCAACCCCAACAGGGCCCAGATCCATGTAGCGGTGCTGCCACTGCAGGGCGGCCAGCCGGCCCTCGCTCAACACCTCAACAGCCGGACACTATTTTAATGTGTGTAGTTGAGCGGAAACAAAAGCCAGCAGTGTAGCAATTCCAAAGAGCTCATGATCCGCACTATGTGTGTGTATGCACAAGAGCTCTGTGGTGGCCGCTAGCGCGGTCCTAGGGTTGTGGAGTGAGCGGGGGCCTGCAGTGTGTGTGTGGAGGCAGGGGATTGGGACACGTAATAACATGCGCCGGTTAGGCCCCGTGGAAGAGGTCCAGGGGCTGATGTCAAGTTGCCGAATATGAATATGTAAGTAGAAGATGACTTGTTTGTCAAGCACCTGTGGCCGAGTGGTTAAGGCGCGGCCCTGCTAAGGCCGTGGGGTTTCCCCGCGTGCGTTCGAATCGCATCGGGTGCGTACATTTTTGTCCGCCCCAACATTGCTGACGACCAGAATGCATGCTCCCAATGAGAGTAGTAGACCCATGCCGCGGCGTCTTGCGGTGCTGTGGGGCACTCAGGTACTGTGCTGCACACTCAGCTGTGCTGCAACAGTGTGGTAAAGATTTGCTGTCCACGTGTGTGGGGGGTTACAATTTTGCACCTGACGAGCTGTGTTTACTTGAGTAGGACAAGAGCAAGCGATTGGGAGAGGTTCGCATGTGACGAGCTGTATGTATGGGCGGTGTACAGTATTCGCACAAGCGGAGGATGATTGCGTATACCGTTACAAGCAGCCGGCCTCTGGAATGGTACGGTGCGAATACCCTGGCCAAGGTAAGCAAGGACCAAGGGCAAGCTTTGTGACTGGCCATGCTGATGCTGACTACCAGGACCAGCGGGACTGAGCTCCCCACCACCACTACAGCCCTGCATGCCTCTACCCAACGCCCCCAACCGCAGGAACGCCCCCTGCCATGCATCTTTCCATACGCAGCTATGCGAAAGCTCTAAGACCGCATCTGCAGTCGTGCGTCCCGATTACCACACCTCCCACCTTTTAAGTAAGGGACCGACCAACACACGACCAAAGTCACACAGTTTGAGCGCGCACGCGCTGACCTTGCGCAGTAACACACATGCCTACCCCACCCTACCGCACTTCACGGTTGCTTTTCTCATTGTTAACCTATCGCCCCAACCACACCACCACCGCCACCACCGAAAGTCCTTATCTGCTGCTGCCACAGCCCTTGTCTCTGCTGCTGCTGCTGCTGCTGCTGACGCGGAAACAGGCCCTGCACCCCAGCCAACATGCCCGACTGCGCCTGACCCTGCACCCCTTGTTGCCGCGGCGACTGCTGCCCCTGCTGCTGCTGCCTAAGTTGCTGCAGTCGTTGCAGCAGCTGCTGCTGGTAGGACGTGCCAGTGGGGTATTGCTGGGGTGCTGCTGCTGCTGTGGAGGCGGAGAAGGAGGCCGGGCGGCCCCCCTGGGTGGATGTCAGCGTTCTGCCGGGTTGCTGTGCAGCAGGTGCTGCCTTCCCCGCTGTTGATGCTGTTGCTTGAGGGGGAGGGGGAGGCTGTAGCAGTTGGGCGGCCAGGGTGTCTGCTCGCTGCCGCAGCTGGGAGGCAACCTGGCGGGCGGGGGGAAGTGGAGGGAGGGAAGGAAAGAGGGAGGGAGGGAAAGAGGGAGGGAGGGAAAGGGAGAGGGAGGGAGGGAAAGAGGGAGGGAGGGAAAGAGGGAGGCAGGGAAAGAGGGAGGCAGGGAAAGAGGGAGGCAGGGAGGGCTGCTGACAATGAATGCCCGGAACCAGCACCCGTGAGAAGGGAGAGAACCAACGGGGGAGTCGGAGAGGGAGCGTGTGTTGCGTGTTGCATATCGTGCTAACCGCACGACCGAGCACCCCTGTCGCACGCATCCATGCATGCTCGCTCCCTCCCCGCCCACCTCCGCGCCCCTTTCCCTCATCTGCTCCCCGGCACCTCTGCCTCCATCGCCTCCCTTCTCCCCCCCTCTCCCTCCCTCTCCCTGCGCCCCCACCTCTGGCGGCACCCCCGCCTCCATCCTGCCAATGGCCGCATCCACCGCCGCATTGGACAGCCGCTGTGCCCCCCGCACCCCCGCCTGCGCCGCATGCAGCAGGCTGGCGGGCAGGGGGGAGGCGGCGGAGGCGAGCCGGACCAGGACCTGGCTTGGTTGGGGGGAGGCGGGTGTAAGACGAAACGGCAACCCGGGATGGTTGGATACGTCTTTAGGACGTATTTGTATGTATGTAGCAAGGGGCTAATGAGCCGCAAGCTTACAGCGGGGTAGAAGGGTTGTCTAGCATTTATTGAGCGAGGGGACACGTACGGCGCTGGCAGGCAGCCACACTGCTGTACCCGGGAACGAGGAGAGGGCCTGAGGGGGTAGGGCAAGACAGGGTGTGCGGGTCGGAACGATAGCCCTATGTGCGGGATGGGTGGGCGGGACCAGGTACATGATCGTGTGTCTGGGGCTGGGGGGTGCTAGCGTGCTACCCATGCCCGGTACCCCGACTCGGGGGAAAGGGTGCGGTTGCAGCTCTTACGGCACGTGCCCAGGGTACTCCGGGTAAGCTAGGCGACAGGCCCCTGCCCCAGGTCGCACCCGCTCACCCGCAGCAGCGCCTCCGTGCGCAGCGCCGCCGCCTCCGTTGCCAGCTGCCTCGCCTGTACGACATGCGACGTACTGGTGTTGAGCAACCGCTGCCAACTGCTGCTGTTACCGGACTCCGAAACCACCTCCGAAACCACCTGCCGTACAGGTCTCAACAGCGCTTGCAGGGGCCCACCTATCAACGCAGCTTGCTCCTGGTTAGCACTGTCTTTTTCAGATCCGTGCAACGAGAAAGGTGCCGTTCTGGTAACACCATAGCGTTTGAGTAGTTGTTGAATGCCGTTGCTTAGGCGTGACGCGGGCGATGGGGCCTGATGCGGCTGCTGTCGTTGTTGTCGTGCCAGCTGTTGCAGCAGTTGCTGTTGCTGCTGCGTGGCTGCTCGCAGTTCGGGACTGCTGAAGTTGCTGGCGTTGTCCTCTCCGACGAACCTGATGGTGACCCGTGAGTCAGTGGAGTCAGTGCCCGCCGCCGTGTCGGTGTCCGCCTGTGCGGCCTCGTCAGCAGCACCGGCGCCATTCCCTTCTTCACCTTGCTCCTGCTGCCCCTGCTGCTCCTGCTGCCCCTGCTGATGCTGCTGCCCTTGCGGCTGTGATGCTGAGCCCTCACGAAAAAGAGAAGGAGCAGCGGTCGGACTCGAGTTGGGGCGTGGGATGCGACCTGCGCCCGCGGCTTGCTGCTGCTGCGACCCTTGTGACCCGCCCGCTGAGCCGGGTGGTGACCCATGGGTCATGTCATAGTAGTCCGTGTAGCCGTAGCCGTTATCGTAGTAGTCGCTGAGGTGGGCCGGGGCCACTCGGTGCAGGAAGGAGCGGTAGGCGTCCAGGGTCTTGGGGAGGGGTGAGGGGGGGGGTGAGGGGGGAGCGGAGAGGAGTGGGGGGAGGGGGCGGGGCGGTGGGTAGGTGGCGTAGGGTGTGCTGGGGAGGGATTTGGTAGTAGTGAATAGGGCTCAACGGACCGGACCAGCTGCAGCCTTAGG